CATTCATTAACATATGAAATAACCACATTCTTCTACTCATCAGTGTTTCATTACAAAAGTATTACATGTTAACAACAAAAGCAAAATGCCCTACGGGCTTACAGCTTTCCAAGTTAACACTTGGTTACATCAAAAGAGTACTAACTCATACACGTTAAGCCCTTGGCTTGTATTTACATGTAATACATCAAAAAGTAAAACGACAACATTATGTCCGCCTCAAGCCTCCCAAGCTATGTCCTTGGAGGTGGCATGCTACCTGCACCTGAAAATGATATTCCCATATAGGGTGAGCCACAGCCCAGTAGAAATACACTAAACCAACCATGAACAATGACTAAAATATTAGCAATTGATAGATGGTCAACACTGTTACATTCACATAAATCACATATTTATGTCAAACGACTTACAAGTCCAAGTTACTATTCTTTTCCCCTTTTTCAATAGGTAGGCATATATGCACTACCCACATGCTCAACAGATATGTATAACAACAGTTTCCACATTCTCAGATAAGCAAATAGGCTATATCCACATTCCACAACAGATACGTATAACAACATTATCCACAGATAAGCATATAGGCTATATCCACATTCCACAACAGATATGTATAACAACATTATCCACAGATAAGCATATAAGCTATATCCACATTCCACAACAGATACGTATAACAACATTATCCACAGATAAGCATATAAGCTATATCCACACTTCACAAAGATAAGCATATGAGCTCTATCTTCACTTCTCTAGACAAGCATATAAGCTGTATCTACGGAGTTCATCCCCTATCTTCTCCCAACACTAACCGGTTTAGAGGTACATCCCCTATCTTCCCCTAAACCGCAGAGTACATCCCCCATCTCCTCCTCTACACATAACGTATACAAACACAAAGGTTCTATATACAATCACTCAATACATATAGTTAATGTATTCTATCAACCGTCAAATTCCATGACACACTTCATTGATTAGTTTCAGTTTACCTAATCATCATGCATTGTCCACAACAATCACGACTATCCTCCACCGATAGCCCAAAGCAGATATTTCTAAACAGAAAATAAATGCACAAATGGATATTCAATCAACATTTCATTTCATCATTTTTCTCAATTAATTATCCCAAAATATAATTTTGATTTTTATTGCCCTCAAATTATTTTTAATTTTTTAAAAAAAACTAAAAATTGTATTGAATTTTTTTTTTTGGTTTGGTGATCTGCGTCTACAAACATATGAGGCAGTGAAAATTTCCCTCCCAAAATTCCCTCTTTTTTTTCCAGGATAGGTAAATCCCCTCATCAATCTGCACGGTTTTCACTCTTGCACAGGTTTGTCTCACAATTCGTAGTTCTCTCCCCCAACCAAATCGCACACCCGCATTGTTGATCGTTGGGTTTGTGTCGTTTGTTGCTGTGTGCGAGACCATCGGTGCTTCAGTCTGCCCCTATAGGTTTGTTCCCTTTTTGCTTTGTATCTCACTTCCCCTGCTTCTCTCTCTCAATTTTTGTTTCGAAAAATTGATACTTGCCTTCTTCCCCAAATTCTTCTACTTTTGGTTTGCTTTTCAATTATTCTTTTGATTTGGATTTCTTTCATAGATAAGAATGTTCCATGATGGTCAGATTGGATTTTTGAGGCAATAAACATAACATCCAATAATACATGCTACAGAGGGAGCATTATTTTATTTTATTTTTTTTCCAGAAAGTTACATCAATTATTTCTTTGGGTTTTTTTTTTTTTTTAAATATACCAATGATTTGGAACAGTTGATATTTGTAACTTGGTATACCCATTCTGTTCAATTTGTTTGGCCAGTAGGTTTCCTATAACTCAAATATGAAGTAAAAAGGATGTAAACAAGATAATAAACAACTACCAACATCCACGGATACATGTCCGGATCACTGTACAACAAGGGTAAACCCGGGATCGCTATATCTATTGTTATAAATTTTAGTGTTTTCTTGGAAGTGATAACAAGATGATCTTCTGCATGTTTTCTTACATTTTACCTGTAAAGACATAAAACGGAATCCACAATTTCCAATATGGTCCGTCATTCTTTGGACCTTCTAAAATCATAAACCTAGACTTTGCTTTTTATTTTTTATTTTTAAGATTTTTCACTATTCCTTGAGTCTAATAGTCTTATTTATTGCTATATCCAATCTTGGTTTTGAACTAGATAAATTATGTAAATATTCATGAAGTGCTTATGAATTTTAAGTTTCAAGGTGAAAATCCAAAAACTTGGCCAAGTGAGATTACAAGTCCCTCTAGTTAGTAAACTATAAAGCCAGAATTTTACTCAAATTGTGCTGAAGTAAGGTCCAAGGAAGACACAAATCCTGGTTGTGTGAATGTTATTGTGTTGGGTGGTTTTGATGATGAAACTCGATTTGGGATATAAATTTTAAGGACTGGTGTAGGGCGTTACAAATTGGGAATAAGATTTGGAAACGCGAGTGGTTTGTTTAATCCTTGTCCACTTAGTTAAACAAGGTTTTTAATTAAATAAATCATCTAGAAAACTTCCTCCCTTTCTCTTTCTCTATCTTCCCATGTTTAAGTAGGCAAAGCATATAGAGTAATAAAATTGAAACAAAGGTATGTGAAGATTGTAACTGTCTTGGGATCTGATTATCAAATATATTATTTATGTTATCTCTGCATATGATTTAATTTTGTCTCACCTCATCACTTGTTGCGTTAAGGGTTGTTAATGTCTCCAGTTCTCAACCTTTTCTTTTCACTTATAGCTACTAGTTATTATTATTTTTTCCTTTGTTAACTGTAGTCTCCTACTTTTGCATTTATTAGGGGGAAAAAAAAGAAGGTATTCTTCATTTTTTTTATAGCAGTTTGGTTGCAATATATCCCATCCTGGCGAATTATCAACATTGCCTTTTATTTTCTGACTACTCATATACCTTAAAATTGTTCTGTTTTAACTGGTGTCAAATCAAAGCTATTCATGGTTCCACCCCCAACTTGAGCATCTGCTTGAGTAACTCATTATGGTAAGTACATAAATGACAAATCTTTGCAGCTAGGCCTATGGGTCTATGACTAAGACTGTAAATCTTATGATCAACTTGCATGACAGGAAGTAAATGCATAGGTTCATTAGTAGAAAACTTAGATGCAGTGGCTGGATATAATTTGTGCTAGGGCTTTTTAGGAGAGCTGAAAACCCCTTTTAGATAAATAAAGAAGTTTGATCAAAGAGGGGGTATTGATTGGTGTAGTGGTAAGTGCTTGAGTTCCTGTGTATGAAAATATGGGTTTGAATTGAAAAATGTAGTCCCTTCCCATAAATAGTATAGAGGTTAGGTCTGTAGCCACTCTTAGTCCTTCCCTATGCCCTCAATTTGTAGGAGCCCGTTAGGTAATGTCCTTTGAGGATGATATTGGAATGAATTGGAATAGTACATTGCCATGCCATCTGCCTTTTACCATTTAACATACATTAAAAGCATTTTCAATTGTTGGTTTTGTTTAGAGTTTCATTGCCATGGCCAACTACGCCTTGGTCTCTCTTTTAGTGAGAGAGGATTGCCTTTTCTGCTTGTTTTATTCAATTTTTGGTGGAGTTGTATAATAGTTTTCAAATTGAAAGTGGTCAATTTCAGTGGCTTACAAAACCAAACTGTTCCTTCCACAGCTGAGGGTAGAGGTTGGAACATAAAAGTAACGTTTTTACTTTGTCATATTGATTTAGGGAGTGGGGGCTAAACGGGGTTTGGTTTGGTTGGGGTTCATATCAAAATTTGGGTTCTACTGAATCTTTTTTATTTTATATATAATAGGGCACCAAAACAAACCATTCAAAGCATATAATAGGCCAATTGTCATTTATAGTGGTAACAAGAAATTACTCTATAGCAATGTAAATTTGAAACAGGTCATTCATATGTGCCCTTTCAACTCTGCTACTTTTCCGGACAGGTAAATTTGGCTCTCTGTCTCTTAATTTTAAGTTTTTTTCCACCTCATCATTGTCAATTGAAATATTGGAACTTGATTCTTTTGTATTTTTGCTTAAACACACTTCTTGAATTGGAAAAGAAGAAATCTTTAATTGTTATTCTAGTCTATGCTTCTAAAGGTAATTATATACCACTTCTTGGTAATTTTAGCGCAACAGTTTGTTGCTGTTCTCTGTTCTGTTTGGCTATTCTGGTGTATCTGCTGTATATGCTGTTCTGCTCTACAATAGTGATTGTGTTGTTGCTTAGATGTTCTTCATCTTTGAGGATCTTATCCAAAGTCATGAGAGGTTCTCTAGATCCATTGTTTCTGTAAAGACTATCCTTTTTTTAAGATTGCATATTGAATCAGATCATATGCCTTGTTCTTCTATTGTAAATATGTATATGTTGCTATAAATGGGGTTTCTTTTGGTAATCTGAAAAGTTTTGTGTTGTGGATGAACAAGAATTAAGGGCTAACATTGAATTCTTCTAGAATGTAGTTGTCATAGTGTGCTCTCATTTCTATATGCTATGAAACACTCCATTTTTGTTGCCGTAGTAGTGTGCAACACATGTCGGACAAGACACCACTCAGATATGTGTCGGACATGCCATGTGGCATTTATATTAATTTTTTTAGTGGACATGTTAGAGGACACGTCAAGGACACATGTCCTATTTCTGGACACACCACAGGACATGTTTTGGGATTTATTATAATTCTGGAAAGGTGGTTTGGTAGAGTGATGTACTAATTTGAAAACAAGTGGGTGGGATATGAAAAAAGGAAAAGAACAGAAGAGAATGATCATAAGGCTGGGCATTTCATCCTGTTCACTTCTTGTGTCTTTAATCTGACCCCTGTTTAGTTCATACTTATTTTTTTCCCCCTCATATATGCTTGTTCATACTTAGTTCTTGGGATGTAAAATTTGGGTGTTTTTTTCATGTTAAAGTAGTGTTATCAATGTTTGTGTCTGTGCCCGTGCTTTTTAGTCAATGTGGTTATCTCATAAACAAATGCTTATCATTTCATTTTCATGCATTTGAATTGTTCCAGTCGAGAGAGTACACAACAACATCAACATGTAGACCAGAACAATGCTTCCACGGAATTGATCAATAGTGTGATTGGCACTGATGAGGAGGGTCGGTCTCGGCAACGGATTCTTACATTTGCTGCCAGGAGGTAGTCATTGATTTTGAATTATGAATTATCAGCTTGTTTGGCATTCCTTGTACCTTTGTTTCTTTTCAAATTTTATAATAAGATATTGAGTTGTATGCTTCTAGAATATCACACAAAAATTATGGCAAAGAAGTAAATTATGACAAAAATACATGTTTATAAGCAAAGCCTATTGAACTCTCTGTACCGTGATAAAATATTTTTTCTACTTTTCAAGTGGTTGAAGGTTCATAAAATTCTGAACTCATCAAAAATAGTGGATCTACTGTTATTGAAGGTGGTAAGCTTTTTACTTTTAACTTTTAAAATGTAGCTGTTCAATGTTGATCTTTGCTTCCAAACATAATCTCAAACCTTAACCCGATTGTTTTTGTTGCACTGGATGTGTTTCACAGAGCCTCGTCTTCTGTTGAATTTTTTAATACGCCTTCAGTCATTGTCGTTTTCAAGATTAACGAGTGGGAATTGTTGCCCAACTATCTTTTTGCAAAGATACATCGGCATACCGTTTTCTTTCTTTTCGGCTTTTCTCTGTCGCTTCTTCTTCTTCTTCCTCTTTATAATATGAAACCTTAATTTGGTATATCACTTGGGCTTAAGCTTTTGGGCCATGTTGGTAACTTGGTATACCCATTCTGTTGAATTTGTTTGGCCAGTAGGTTACTTGGGATGTGACATTAAAATTCTTCAAACTGGACTTGACATGTACAGTGGCAGCACTCTCTTCATTTTGGAGACAAAAAGTTAAATCTCTTCAATGGAAATATTGACTAATAAATTACTTTTGTTTCAAGCTCTATGTTCTTAGTGTTTATACTTACAACTTCGTAACCTATAAAGCCAGAATTTTTTCCCTTGTTAACTGTAGTCTATAGTTAGTAACCTATAGTTAGTAACCTATAAAGCCAGAATTTTTCCCTCTAGTTAGTAACCTATAAAGCCAGAATTTTACTCAAATTGTGCTGAAGTAAGGTCAGAGGAAGACACAAATCCTGGTTGTGTGAAGAATACATGATTTAGTTTAGTTGAGCACCTGAATATGGGCACTTTTAGTTGCACACCTGAATAAGGGTACTTAAATTGGTTCCAATCTGTGGGAGAGTCCAATGAGTTTTGTTACTTCTGTTAGTGATTTAAAATGAGAATTAACAATATGTCCCCCAATATATATTATATAAGTATATATATCCAAAATTGTTTTTTTTTTTTTTTTTGTTCCAGATGTGTTAGCTACACTTTAAGAATGAAGGTACAGAGTATAATAGTTTCTCCATTTGCAGCAAGTGTAAAGATGTTTATAGAAGGATGCCCATATTGGTGATGGGCTGGTGTTGTTTTGGGTTATTATGGACAACCTTTGCAATATTTGAATGTGTAAGGATGAAGATAATTGTGCTTTGTGCTGAGAAGAACAAGATAATTGGCTATAGCTAATAGGTATCAAGAAGCTTTGATGTGTAAATACAATGAGAGATACATGCTTTTAAAATTAACATGATTTTATTTTCCAAAATCTAAAATTGTAATTCAACTATATATATATGCAGGTTTGTGAGTGAAACTGCACATGCCAAACCAAAAATGAACTAATAAGGATATACACGTGTTTTTATGAATGTGATTTATCACAAGCTCATATCTGCATGCCCACGTGAGGACATTTGGGGCAAAAACATTGTTGAATTTCTTGTAATCATTAGTATGCATAATATTAAACAGCAGTCTATGGATTTGCTTAAGCATGATTTATGGTTTTGTAGTTTGAGTCTCTTTATTGTTTTTTACTTATTTGAAGCTTTATGATGTATGGGGTTTCTTCAATTTTATTTACCATCACTTCAACGCATCTCCATTTCCGTAACCTCTATTGCTTGCAGATTCGAACTTTAGGAATGCTAAGGTCCAAATTTCAATCATTGCCTGCTGCTTTTAATGCCTGTTTAATTTCGGAGGAAAAGAGTGAGCCAACAAAAAAGAAAGGACTGCTGAAGTCCACTTTTTCTCAGAACTTTGCTCAGGTTATTTCATTTGCTACTCTCTAGAAAATATGGAAATTCCTTTCCTTCAATTTTATTTATCTAATAAATTTTTTCAGATCCCATCAAGCAATGAAAAAGCAGCAGCAAGATTTGCTCAGTTATGGAACACAATAATCAACAGTTTTAGAGAGAGGATCTTATAAGTGATAGGTAATCATGGGTCTGAAACTTTGCACAATAATACACACCTATTTTTTTTTATGTTGTTTGACTCCTACGATCTAACCTTTTTTTGTGTCCTAACATGTGTTGAGAAATTTTTTATTTTTTTTTTCTTCTGATTCTTATTGTATTCTGCTATAGTATGTATAACTTTGTATCATTTCCAGGGAAATGGACCTGTTGCTTCTTCCATATTGGGTTGACCGTGAGTTGGACCACATACAATGGCCTCCATTTTTGCTTGCTAGCAAGGTTTGTCACATGGTTCAAATTTGTTTAAAATGGAAGTGTTGCGAAATTCCCAATTGGAAGTGTTGCGAAAATGGAAGTATTGTAATAGTATATAACATGATATCCAATTTTATTTATTTATTTATTTATTCAATAAATTTGACCTAAGAGCAAATAGATATAAGTTAATATTCAAAGAATCAATTGAGAAAATAATGAAACTTGTCAATAAAAAAAAATAATGAAAGTTTGAAAAAAGAAAAAGACAGAGAGAAGTAAGGTCATTTTAACCTTAAGAGCAACTCAAGTCTTGTAGAACTTGAAAATTGGACATTCAAAACATGTCAATCTAAGACTTTTGCTAAAGTTTTATTTATTTATTTATTTTTGGGGTGCAAATTTAACAGCTAAAAAAAGAAAATAGAGAAAAATAGCCTAATACAAAATTTATAATATAAAAAAAAAACGCAACGGTCGTAATGGTTTTGTAACGGGGACTACGGCCTTTACATAACAGTGGTGGCTGTTACGGCTGTGAATTTCTATCACACCGCTATAGCGGCCATAACGGGTGGTGGTAACCATTGAAACCATTATGTATGGTTACGGTTGCGTTTTAAAAACATGTTTGAGAATAATTTTGATCATTCGAAGTAGAGAAATTCTACAGGGACAGGCAAGTGTATCATTGGATTGGCTTGCAAAGATAGGGAATTTTTTTGCAGAAGGTCTCGAGTAGCTGCTTTCTGATTCACTTAATAACCTTATTCTCTGATGATCAGTGGGTGGAAGCAACGTGCTAGTCTCTGGTCATAGTAGTTGTGATGGAATCTTTGAGAACATACTAAACTTTGTCTCAAGGGTAACACGATTTAACATAATTTTCTGATGACTATGTATGTCTTTTGGTTAGATCCCAATAGCGTTGGACATGGCTAAGGACAGCAATGGAAAGGATAGAGAGCTAAAAAAGAGGATTGAAGCTGACGACCATGTCTTGTGCTGTTCGTGAGTGCTATGCTTCATTTCAAAACATCATTAAGATTTTGGTTCAGGGTGGTCGCGAAAAAGAGTAAGTTTTATTACATTCTTATAATTTTGATTGAGAAATGGATATACATAGTACATATTGATGCTTTGTTATATCATAATGCTTTATTTGTCCAAATGGCCTTTCTAATGATTAGGACTTTTGTATTGTAATATCATCGAATCTGAAACCTCTGTACATATCGCAGAGATAATGCATATGCCTTCCATATCAGAAATCATTGAAATGGACCTTATCTGAATATTAGTAGAGAATCTGAAATTAGTTTGCCTTGTGTAAATTATTGCCATTGTTGCAAGTGAATGATTTGTAACTTGGACAACATTTTTTTTCACTGGAGTGTAGAATGCATTGGATCTACTGCTACTGATTGTTTTAGTATAGTTGGAAATCGAAGGTTTTTATTTTCTTTTATTTTTTACCAGATGATGGTGAAAGCTTTATGTTTTGGCTAGTACTTGCGCTTGCATATCTGTTAACTCACACACACACACACACACACACACACACACAGAGACTGCTACCAGATCAATAAAAAAGCTAATGGACTTTGTCTTAAATTTGTCATTGATCAATACATACTGCTACCAATCCTCCTTTTTTGTTGGTGGCTGATGGTTGTTGCTTGTTGGTCTGCTGCAGCTGCTGGTCTGCTGCTGCTACTGCCACCCTCGTGGCTGATGCTTGCAGGGCTGCTGCTACTACAATGTTGCTGTGAGGTGGCTGCTACTAGATGTTGGTCTGCTGGATAAGTTTGTCGGTGATTTTCATGCCGTTTTGCCTGTATTTATTAGTTTCATGTTTTCATTTTGTTATCTGTTGTTTCTAATGTGGGTTCACAATTTGGATGTATTTGAGTATTTTTGTGACTTTACCCTTTTAGGTTTTATTCTAAAAGCAGTATCAGTAGTGTTTTTTTGGCTTGCACATCAACTCTAGGTGATTTCATATCAATGTTATTAGTTTGTAATAGTGATGCCTAAGGGATGCCTCTTGTAAATCTGTAAATCTTATGAAAATATATAAATTATTTTCAATTATTTTTGTTAGTAAATGTGTCGCCAAAAGTTTATTTTTGCCCACTCATATTGTGTCGCTAGAAGTTATGTTTTGCCAATGCCAATTTGTTGTTGCCAAAAGTAAACCTTTATCGACAAACAAATCGTCGACAAATGGCAATATTTACCGACGTAAATGTGTTGCCAAATGTTTACTTTTTCCCACTCATATTGTGTTGCTAAAAGTGTATTTTTTGCCAATGCTAATTTGTCATTGCCAAAAGTGAAGTTTTATCGACAAACAAATCGTAGGCAAATGACAACATTTACCGACGTAAATGTGTTACCAAAAGTTTACTTTTGCCAATGCATATTTCGTTGCTAAAAGTTTATTTTTTGCCCATGCAAATTTGTGTCGCGAAAAGTGCCAAACAATCATCATATTTGAATGACTTTTACCGACGCAAGGTAAATTGCCGACAATGGATGAAGGCTTTTATCGACGACTACGTTCGTCGCTAAAAGCATTACTTTTACCAACGCAATGATAATTTCATCGGGAAAAACTTTTGCCAACTCACTTTTGCCTACGGCTTGCCAACGTAGCTTTGTGTGTCGGTAAAACTCTTTGCCGAAGAATTTTCCCTTTTAGCAACATATTTTGTTGCGTTGCAAAAAATGTAATTTCTTGTAGTGTTGTCCAACGAGGGTTTGGAAAGCTTTGGACAAAGTCATGTAAAGGGGATTGAAGACCCTCTGGCCTCGGGGTTGGTACTTCAAGGTTTGTAGAGTTTTGCTGGATACACCAGCAAAGGGATTGGTAGCTGGTGACTGGGTTTGCTGATCTCTTCCGAGCGTAGGATTAGAGCTGAAAGGAACATTCCTTATACGACGGCCCTTCTCCCGGCTTGCCCCTTAATTCAAATTACTCTCATTCTGAGTGGCAAATGCCATCCACAGTCTTTGCAACAACTGCAAGCACTTGCTATTTGTTCAGTCCTTCAGCTTTCAAGGCCTCAATAACCCACTGAAGGTGTTCATGGGGACCAATGCCTGCCCCTACCTTGTTCTTACCACCTGTCTCCACTTTGCTAAGGGATTGGCCTTCTTCCAATGCAACCTATCCCAAGATTGGGGAGCCTTCTGGCGTGAAACTTCTAGCATGTGATGTGGTCTATGATGGAGCCAATGTCCTAGAGGCCAGATCTACCACAGTTCTCTGAAGACCTTCAATCATTCTCATCCGCTCAGAAGTGGTGGGTTCACAGGTTTGAGATGATTGGGGTTCAAGTGCATTCATCATGCATAAGTCCAAGCTGTTTGGAAGGAACACCTCAGGCTTGGGTAGATGGCCCGGGTGATGTATATGCTGGGGTTATAGCCAGATGGCAGTATATGAATGAGGTCGAGGTAGGCAGGAGATGTTTGGTCATTGAGGTTTAGAGGCGGAGCTATCGTCCGGTTGTCGATGAGATTCTGGACCTCATGACGAAGGCAATAGCAACGATCAGTGCCATGACCACGCTATTGATGATACACGCAGTATTTGGCAGGGTTATGTCTGGCAGGGAGTAGGTCAGGCAAAGGTTGAGGATCAAGGGGTTTGAGATACCCTATTTACATCAACACTTTTAGTGCGCTGGTTAGGCTCATATAGAGGGGAGTGAAAGTTTTACCCTGAGCTCGGGTCGGGCCAGCTATTTGTAGGCTTGGTTTGGCAAAAGGGTCGGCTGTGGTGACTGTATTGATTTCGGTGGGTTTGGCAATAGTGCTACTACCAGCGTTGGTACTCCTTGAAATCGCTTTCCTTATCGGTTCACTTATTCTGGAAATGATCCCATTGTTGAACGCATTCTCGACCTGAACCCCCAGTTCATGCGAACTTTTAAAAGTGAATTGTGGAGCGACTATCAACTTTTGCAACATATCATGCCCAAGGTTGCGCACCACTATCCACACTTGATCACTCTCAGAAGGGCGATCTGTCTTCTGTGCTGCCTTTGCTCTCCACCTCACAACAAATTCCACAAAAGGCTCTAGAGGATTCTGGTGGGTAGCTTCTAGCTCTTGAGTTGTCATTTCAACTTGGGAATTGTAAGAATACTGATCAACAAAGGCCTCAGCCAATTCTTCCCAGTTCTGCTTCACTGTATTCTCCAACTTGGCATACCAAGCGGTTGCTACACCCGACAGGGTTTTTCCATACAGAGAGAGTTTCTATGGCTTAGTCAGACCCATCGGCTTCAGGACATTCAAGAAAATCCGGATATGTACCATAGAATCTCCATACCCGTCGAAACGGTCAATATATGGCATTTTGGATCTGTCTGGGAGCCGTACGGCAACCTCGGTGTACCCATCCTCAATGTCGGGAATGGAGTTAAGGCCCTGTGCCTTTTTGAACTGCTTCTCAAGTTTCGTGATTTTCACTGCAGTCGGATTGAGCTCATTAACATCAAGGGGATAAAGCCTCTCATAGGCTACACCAAGGATTTGAAAACTCAAGCTTGAGCGAACCCTTCTCGGGGATTCGGACCATGCAAATCTTCAGCTGGCAGAAGTGGGTCGAAGTTCGGCTGGGGTCCCAAAACTGGATGCAAGGAAGATGCCCTATATGGGCATTGCGTTTCAGCATTGGTCTCATCCTGCATGGCAGTTCCCCGATTTAATGCAGCTATCACGGCCACAACTTCTTCCGAACCCTGTGCCATC